AGATCATTAACTAAAAGAAATCATGTAACAATAAGATGGAGAAAATTTCATTTACCAATTCAATATAGGAGTTCATTCATGATTTCACAGAAATGTATATGGTATTACAGGAAAAATGCAATAAACTATTGATCCATTCACCATTATTGAAAAACAAACGAATAAACAAAAATGAATTTATTATTGAACGGATGTCATATTAATGCAAAAATAAAAATGATTTATTGTTATCATGTTATCTGATGTAGAATGTAGTTATACATATTTGTTCGTTTATTGAAAATTAATTCATTACAGGTAATACATTTTTCCGTTTACTATCGATATTTATCAAAAGTTATTTTCTCTTCATTAAATTTTACACTTAACTGTGAATTAGTATCTGTCGAAATCCCCTCTTGAAATTAGTCATAACTCAGTGATAAATGGGTTGTAAATACATTAATCTTACAGAAGATCAGTCGCGATATAAACAGACAAGACTTTGGCGCGGTTTCAAATCCCACAGAATACATCAGTTCGCAAAAGTTCACAAGTACACCTTGTTGAGAAGTACTAGCTAACATAAAGCTCAGATCTAGGGCTGGTTATCGACTACTTTGAATCACATACAATTCATTCCTCTTTTTTTTCGTTTGTGCACAGTAGATTGATTTATTCCACATATTATAAGTAATCCACTTCATAGTAATAATTATTCACATAATATATATTTGTTTTTTCGACATTAACTTGATGACTGTAACAACAGACATTTTATATAGAAAGGAATTTCGTTTAAATAGTACAAGTTCAATAGATTTATTTTTTCAAGAAAATAAGCAAGGTGTTTATCAAATTTAAGGTAGAATACGTCTTGTTAGTCAAACTAGCAATATAACCGATAAACTAGCTGACTCAAGAAAATTTTGCACTTTTATACGGTTTTAATAATTGCAAGCTGAGCGGTGTGGATTTTGTATTCGCCATCATCCATCGGCAATCATTGTTATATTCATAACACCTATCGTATTATTTAGTTTGTTTACGTTTAACATTGTAAAGCCCTTCAATTAGTTCATTTAACAGACAGTGTTATTCGAACAAAAACAATTTGTTTATCCATGTATTATTATCATGGCCGTATGATTATATATGTTTGGCTATCTGTGATAGAGTACGCACATATCCCTTTTTCTAGTTTAAATGTTAGTCTCTTAAATCACTCAATGGACCATTCGCTTTGCCATATATATATTTAATAATGGTTATCAGGGCAACTGATACATGAATTGTAAAGAATCATCTCTAAAATTATTCACTACAACGTCTTTGATAAACTTTTATAATGATACTTGTATCACATTACAATGATAAAGATTTTTAGAAATATTTTAAATGTGTTAGTTTTCGTGATGGAAAGAATATAGACTTAGGAGTTAGAATTCATTTATAGATTACCACAATTATTGAGATTAATCATTCCAATGGTGTATTGTTCAAGCTTAAATTGATAATACATTCTAATAATAATAATAATAATAATAATAATAATAATAATAATAATAATAATAATAATAAGCAGTTTACATGTAACGAGTATAAAAAGTGGTTTCGAAATCTAATTTTAATACTGATATGCAAATTGAAAAAGTGGTTATAAAATCTATATTTATGACAAAGAAATATTCAATACGCAAGTCATATCAGATGATCTTTTACTTAGTTGATGGAATATGGAAATCCGTAGAAGCAGTTATCATATGTTATTTAAGTTTTTGTTAATAACACATTCATTTGATAGGAAGCCAAGAAAAATAACTCTAAGGTTCAATACTATTGGACACTCATACAATTGATTAATGTTTCATGTTAGGATAATCAACATTAAATAAAAACTCGCAGAAATGGAAACATCACAGATAGTTAAACAAAAATGGAACAAAGTAAACAAATCAAACTATGATGTACAGAAATGAATACTTGTCTAAATTACGTAAATAATAGACAAATGATGGTATCCATATTTTTCGGAATTTTTACAGCTGTCCAGCCTGTTCTAGTTTACATTAGTTGTTTAATTAAAATAAATCTATGGTGTAAACCAAAAAAATTCTACAATCTCCAAAAACCGTACATGGTAATATTATTTTATAATGTTGTCATCTATTTTGATACCTATCTGCTGTATATTTGTTTAGACTATGTAACAATTTCATTCACAGTCAGTTATTAGGAATAAAACTTCCTGCTTTTTAACTGTTCTTCAACTATCATCTTTGGTTAGAAATGTCAGTTGAAGTATATATATATATATATATATATATATATATATATATATATATTGTGAGTCAGCTGATTATGTTGAAAATGTTTCTTCATTTGCTTGGTATAAACATTCACGGGTAATCAATAAATCATATCCTTTCAGATTTACTTGATTAAAACAGGAACTTGTCATGTTCAGTTAGTTTCTTTTTCTTTTAAGTTTGACAAAAGCCAAAGGGTTTATCATGAGAATTGATTATTTATTGGTAGAGATAAGGTCAGATAATGAAGTAGTTTCAGTTATGAGAAAAAAAACTATAAATTTTTCACTTATAAGAAATCTATTCAAGTTTAATGGGGTTTTGCATTATTTTGCACAATGTCAATGTTGACTGAATACAATAGTTTCTTATAAAATAATATTTATCAGGAAATATAAGAATAACTAATATTTATTCTACCTGGTTATGCCCGATGAAAATCTCCAAAAAGATATAAATATTTAAATAATAATTATTATTATTTAAAAATGTTTGTTTCACATACTTAGTGTCTTTAAGTTCGATGGTTTAACAGAATATCCGTGTTAATTATAGATAATGGTCTTCAATCTGTAAATTCTTAATTTGTCTTTAATTAGGATAACCCAGCAGTTGACATTTGTGATCTTATATGGATCTGTACTTATTGTTCATAATCAACACTACATATTTAGACCATGTAGTTGAAATCAGGTAGTACACATTTTCTGACTTCAGATGAACTACGATATCCTGCAATTCCCCTTTTGATATCATACGGGAGGTAATATCTTTGCATTTAATGTTTATTTCGTGACAGAAACTACTATCGACTTATAGGAAGTCTTAATCAGATTACCAAACTTAAATATTTATTGAGTAGTGACTAGTTTTCAAGTGAATTAACTGGATTTTTGTTGGAACAAGTAATCTGTGTACACAACTATGTTGTACATAAACTCAAAACTGAGAAACGGCACTGAGTGAAGCATTATATAAATGCACCACTAGATACAGACTCCACAGTTTAAAACCATTGCAGTTCCCATCACACCTGAAGACAGTTAAGGAAATTATGTAAAAAATTGAGTTTGCACACATCTGAAGTGTTTTAAGCTAAAACAAATGAGTTGATTTGCTTTTTCCAGATATTTTTATAAGTTCATTAGTTGATGTCAGTTTATAGTACACACGATCATCAGGGAAGTATTTATTGGCTCCAATCTTAGGTTGCCTGTTTACCTATTTTATTAATTTACATAAGTTTGTTTGATGTGGATTTGCTTACCATAATTAGTTATGATATTGCTACTTCACATTAACTGATCTAATCGACCAAGGAACCTTATAGTTATTACTTGTGAAGAATATTGAATAGATCACACGAAAATCAACAAAAAATTTTTAGAATCATAGTTATACTTTTCGTATAGTGATAAGTCCGTGTTTATCTTTAAACGTGAAATTGTCATTGAATAGATCAGTGATCAGAAGTCATTTCTAGAGAGAAACGCTTATCTCAATTTTAATCCTACATTATGCGGTATTACGAATCATATTACACATTGTTATAAACATATTTTCCCTATCATAAACATGATTTCAGCATTAGACTTCAGTGACTGAAATATTAGATATTTTTCTAACTCAATGAAGAAACAGTAGAAAGTAATTAATACCAACGATATTAAATGATATCTTTCTAAGTTCTAATTTAATCAAGTAACTAACCATGATAACCTTAGATTCAAAATCGATAAAGGTATATTGACAAAAAAAATCAATAAATTTAGAGCTCGACACAGAACAGACATATTTTTAATATTTGTAAGCCGACCAATGATATACTACCATTACATAATCGTGCTAAATGGCATGTGTTGGATAAAGCATGTTTACACAAAGGAATGAAGATTAGAACGAAACCCCAAAGAAAACACAAGGCATAATATTTTGGAGAAAAAATACATGACCTTAAAATATTACATCAATGATATTAATCATCGTGACAGTACAACTGAACATTGATAAGACAAAAAAACACGATCATAAAATATCAGCTTCTTCTTACGAACTGATGCACACGATACAGCTGTTTGTTAATAATAATATCATTGCCGATGTCATATATAGCTAACATAATGAAATAAATAAATTCCAAAACTTCAATCTTCTCGTTAGTTAGCTCAAAGTAGCCCTTAAAGTACACACGCACACGGACACGAGTGATAACACTGTACGATGATGTTTACAAGTACATTAGCATGAAATTTGCTGAGTTTGACTATAAAGAAAATAATGACAATATGAAGCTAATTTTAAGAGTAAAAGTGAAGACTACCAGATAATGTAAGTTGAATATATGCAACACTTACAAATGGCAAAATAAACATATATACATGTAAACGGACACACATAAGTGTTCAGACCCAGATGAATGTGGTAAACAAAGATATATTTTTTGACAATTAAGTAGGAGAACGGAATTCAACTGAACGGTTTTGTTATTCATTAGTTTAAACAAAGAAAGTAGAAAATAATCATTAACATAGGCCATGTATTAGTAGGTAACAAGGATGATAGGTTATAAGAATTTGGTTAAAAATTACGTAAGCAGAAATTTTGAAATGCGCGTTTTGTAGTTAAACATAGAATGATGACATCAGCATTTATAGTGAAATTTAATGTTTGGTTTATTACTAGTATCAAGTTTTTGAGTTTCTTTTAGCTCACCTCTGAAGATGATATTCCATTTGATTTGACAAATATGATCTCGTTTGTTGCAGTATGTAAATTAGGAGAATCATTATTACTGATGTTATTAGAGTACGATATTTTGCTTTCACCTAAAGAAGTAGTTTGTTTTTCGTGGTCATATTCATTATCATCAATGTAAAACGTTGAGTATGGTCGAAGTGCACTTGTGGAATAATCATCCGTAAGTTTTGCTGTATATAGATCAAGTTGTGAAATAGCATCCACAGCAATGCTTAATGGTCTGGCGTGCATACGTGATAGAAATTCGTCATCTTCTTTATCTTGTTCAATTCGAATAAATCGAGGTAAACGTCCATTAGAAAGATCACATTCTTTACGATATACAAATTCCACATTTAATGAATTTGAATGCCTGATTGACCTTTGTGAATTTTCTGCACGTTCACAACTCGATGAGTTATTCAATAACTCAGAAGTAGTAGTAATGGTAGTATTACAGTTAGTAGATTGAACATTTAAGTGAGGTCTACGTTTACTGTGACGTCGTCGTAAAATATTTACATCTCCTATAACAAACCGACGATTCTCTTCATCACTACACTCAGGACTTACTGGCGAACATGTTTCTGATATTGGATCAGGTGAGATTGGAGTTTTACCTGAACGAACTGGTGCAGGACTACAAAGTTGTGATGGGCTACTGAATCCATTACGATACAATGATATTGTTCGCCCAGATACATTCACAGGTTTAATGTCTATTGAACCAGCCATATTGAGGAAAGAAATGTGAACAACAATTAATAAGATGTCTTTTTTAAGTAAATCCTTTGAATATTTGAATTTTTTATTTGTGTGTTTACCTGTCGTATATTATTTACTAAGAAAAAGGTTTTTATGGTAAAATATGCAACCTGAAATTTTGAACCAATCACAAAGTAGGTTGAACAAAGTTTGTAACTAACCAATAAAATACTCCGCCAATCAGAAATCAATTGTCAACATTAATATGATTATTATTAATTCGGAAAATAGAAAATTTAAGTGAATATTTATTTCGAATAGTATTATTCAATGGGTATGAATTAAGATGAAGTTAAAAATTGTCCTCTCAATCAACCAACTAATGAAGATATCAGATTATATTATAGAAAATACTTTTTTCTAAAACGAGTTGGTTGAATGGCGGAAGATAAAATTAAGAGATGAAAACAGGTATGTGATTCAGCAGGAAGTTTTGCAGTTTGAAAAGAGTAGTGAAATAATTTTGTTATCAGGAAAAAGTTACAAGATTGATAGAAAGGTAAAAATAATCATACTTCTTCAGTTAGTCGTATATTTGTATATTCTGTTCTTAGAAAATGAAGGGTAATTTAAATTATCAAAAGTTGATATGTATTCATTTAAATCATGGAAAGAATAAGTCAACAAGCAAGGCATATTCAGTAACACAACGTGAATAAATGAAGTTAAATGGAAAGTTCCTCCCGTATTAATACTAAGATTTAAAGATAGATTATTTGTACCACATATAGTAGCATCTATGTTTTTTCTCTCAGTCTACGACGTTTTTGGTTGTGAATTATTTAGTATATTCAGTGACTGATTATCGGAAAATTGCAGTCGAAATCGATCATAAGTGTGTATCAGTAATTTATTTTCAACTAATTACTGTCCTCTTAAAAAAAGTCTGATAAATTCCTAAAGAATACAAATATCGAATCTTAGGTTAAAATTGATATGTTTTGAAACCTTTGAAATGATAAACAACTTTTTCATAACATGAGAATCAGTGATTCTACTTGTCTAACTACAACAGTTAACGTCACAGTTCTTACTTTCGTATATCTACTTTCGTCTTCGGTGTTTAAAAATCTAATTACCTTATGATATTGCTCCTTAAACTGCCATTATTTACTGAATCAAAAAATTATTCTTGGACATGCAAACACACAAATAATCTGAAAAGCTGTGAAAGTGGAAATCCATACTTCATTACATTATGTCGTCTGTTCATACAGTATACTTCTTTATATGTTAACCTATTGAGGCCTTAAGCAGTGAAAATGAAACAGCATGACAGTGAATATTATTTACTTGATAATTAGTAAATTTTAAGTCTAATGCATTCAGTCTATAAATTACCCACTTATAAAAAGTATAAATCTCGATAAACAATAGCTTCACTTTTCAAAAGCAGGATATTCCTTTTTACAATTAGATACAAAATATATAATTTTACAAACAAAAGTAAAAATTATACATTTTGGCATTGCTAACGAACGAGTTTCCTGCTAAATAAACAACGATTACTGGTTCAATTAAATTTTTTTTTGTTTTAATGAGATGGGACATATTTTTAATAGTTTGCTTATGATCAATATTAAGTAATAAATAGCAAAGAATAAAGGTAACAAATAAAAAATACAATTAATACATTTAATTAGTGATTAAAAATGCATTGAGTGCCAAAAACAATATTTAAATTATGCCATCAATAAGAACTAGATTTTTTTTCTTTGTTCGAAGTAAATAAGGTCAATCTTCAGTGTAACAAACGTTCTCATTCAGACGTTTAGTAAAAAGATGAATATATATGCTTTCAATTAGTTTTTCACCATGGGTCTATGCTATATATATAATTTCTAACCATAAAACGAATTATTACTAATCAAACAGTAGTGTTACGTAATAATGCTGTAACTCCAAAAGTGATTAAGGAAATAATATCGAATGATTGTCTAAACGATTAGAAGCGAGCATAAGCTAACGATAATAATTAAAGTAATTATATTTCAAAAAAATTGAGAATATGTAGATCAACGGTTGTCAAACTGCATATCTGACAAGAGAAATAACAAAGTATTTTGATGAAATGTCAATATAATTGATAGTTAGAAGTAAAGGGATCAGCGGTTGCCAAATTATGTAAAATTATTTTATTATTGTATTTGTTTATATTAATGTAGAGTGATAAACAAAAGCTAATTAAAATGAAATATTTTTTCGCTCTATTCATCTTTCTACTAAATAGAAATGGATTAAAGCATAGTTTTCGAATCATAATTTACATCATTAACTGAGAAAAATTAAATCAAGTTAGTCAGATAATATTTATTCAAGGTAAGTAGAAGATTATACAATATTGTATCATATGATATTCAAGTTAATCTAGGCTCCTCAATAGCTTCAGCTAATTAAAAATGAAACATTTTAACATTTTTTATTTCAGAGTTTTTCACTGTTTATTTTTAACTAGTAACACAAATGATCTTAGTCATTGACAAATATATTTTGTAAAATATCAATTATGTGTAAAGAACACGTAGAACCATTTACTTAGAGTAATTTATAATAATCAGGCTACCTACTCATGGTTCAAAAAATCAATTTCGTTTTAAAATACTACATTTCATTGTAAAATATAAAACAGGTATTCTTCTTTAAATGTGGTACTTTAATTCTGTTTTCTATAAATGGTTTAAAAATACCCCAGTAATGGTGCTGAAATATAGTATTATGAATAAGAATGTTAATGACTATTTAGAAATGAAACGAACTTTTCAAACCATCTAATATCAAACAGAGGATATTTTAAAATACTTCACTCAACCTGTAGACAGTACATTAATTATAAATTCATTTAAAAATGAAGATGGTGAGAAATAATAACAATCATGGATGCAAAAAAGTAGATTACGAGTTTTATCGATGTTAACATTGAATACAGATGTTAGTGCTTATCAACGTATTGACTTGTTTACTTTACAAACGAAAATGAGTGGCAGTACTTAAATGTTTTTGACTGGAAAGAAGTCATTTTTCATTGATTTATATTTTCAGTGGTTTTCCTTTTGGTGTCCCTTTATAATGCTAATTTTCTTAACACTCATAGTTTTATTTATAGATTCAACTAAAAGTTCTAAACACTTGTCTACGCAAGATACTTAGTGTCCGTTGGCCGGGAAGCATCAGCAACAACCTACTGTGGTAGAAAATAAACGAGCTTCCTGTTGAAGAAGAATTTAGCAAAAGACTATGAAAGTGGATAGGACATACATTACGGAAACCATCAGACTGCATCACGAGGCAAGCGCTATCTTGAAATACAGAAGGAAAAAGGAAAAGGGGAAGGCCAAATAACATATTGTCTCAAGAATTGAAAGCATACATGAAAAGGATAAATAGCAACTGGAAAGGATTTCCCAGAACAGAGTTGGATGGAGAATAATGGTGGGTGGCCTGTGCTTCTCTACGAAAGGTAACAGGCATAAGTCAGTAAGTTGACTAGAAGTTGAAATAATAATAATAAGTTAACTATTTTCTAAGTTAATCACGAAATCAATACTTTAGAGAAACACATTAATAGAGGAAATAATTAATAGAAGATTTAATGCAAATAGCGTGAATGTATGTAGGCGAAAGAAAGAAACTTTATTGCTCTTTAATATTTAATACTGAATTCGGTTAATGTCAAGTTGTAGGAAAACTTATCATCAGAATCAACAGTCTATTCATAAATCACCTAACTAAATATTAATCTAGGTGTCATTACCAAGGTTTGATTTGATAATTTCGAATAAATTGAGCATTGGGTTGATTGTTATAAATAAAAATAATATATTTGTAATATCCCAATGAGTAGAAAATTGGATTTTCTGACGTTTCGTGGCTTAGTGTAAGTCACTTCTTCAGAGAATAAATAACCAAATTAAAATTAATCCAAGTTTAAATAGTACAACGGAACAATGCAAGAATAATATTTGATCAATCAAAAAACAGGTCTGAACAAGTTGATGTCATGTCATTTCTGTCAAGGTGATTCATAAGTGATAAGTATGTAAATTTGTGTGTGTATGTATATGTGCATTGTTTAAGAATGAAAACTTATGTGACCTTTATGGTAAGAAAGGATAGAGTTTAAATTTGTAATATGAAAGTGTGAAATTGTAAATACGATCAGACTGAATGGTTAGGATAGATGGTCCAAGTAGGGTGTATGGTAAGGCCTTCTTTTCTATTGAGAGAAGTAGGATTAAGCATTATGTGGAACGCCTCAGCTACCCTCCTTTCTTTGTAGTTGGAAAAGCCTTTTTGCAATATTTTGATATTTTTAATATCGATTTGGTGGTTGTTGAAAATGGCATGAACTGCTATTGCCGATTTAATTTGAAGTTGGTTCAATTCTACCGGATTGTTAGGAGGTTTCTTTGTGTACCTAATATGTTCTTTGGCTCTAGTCACGATTTCGCGGGATGACTCTCCAATATAATAGGCATCACAATCGATACAACCTAATTTGTAGACGCAGTTCTGTGTGGACATGAAAGGGATTTTTTCTTTCAGGCGAACTAAAGTATTACGTAGTGTGTTCGTTGTTTTGTAATACACTTTAATTCTGTGGTGTTTTAAGATTCTTTGAATTTCTTCTGTTGTGCCATGACGGTATGGTAGAACTACAGTACCAATCCATGGCATTTCATTCGAAACATTATTATAATGTAATAAGTTGTTTTGTTTTAATATGCTTCTAATAATCTTCATAGGAAAATTATTAAATTGTAAGGTACTAATTATATTCATTTGTTCTTTTCGTTTGTCTTCCTCTGATGTGATGATCTTGTTAGCTCTTCTAAAAAGATTTAAGGCTAGCGAGATCTTAGCACTGAAAGGATGTGCTGAATGGAAGTCAATATAACGATTTGAATGCGTCGGCTTTCGGTAAATGGATAAGTTTAGACTTCCATTTGGATTTCTTTTTACTAAGCAATCCAAGAATGGTAGCTCATCATGAGCATTTTCATTTTCATTGGTGAATTTGATTTGCGATGAGAGTGTATTAATTCGTTTTGAAAAAGATCTTAGATGA